AGGCGGCGCCGCGTGTCCCTCCGGCCCCAGCAGCGCGCGGGACCCCGGGCCCTGCGCCCTCCTCCGCACCGCGGACAGACCCCCGCCCGCAGTAAGTGCGGGGAGGGACAGCAGGGGGAAAGGGGGGGGATCCGGGCTCCGCACCCGCGAGGTGCGGGCGAGAACCGGCTGCCGGGCTGCCCCGCGCGGGGCTTTTCCTCGCGGGAAGGCGGCGGGATGGAGGCGCGGCGGGGCTGAGGCGGGGGCTGCGCGGCCTCGGCGCTGCTCAGCGGTCGGAGATCATCCTCACCGGGAAAGTTGGTGTGCGCGGTCGGTGTGCGGGAGTTGTTCCGCTGGCGAGACGGAGGGAAATCGTACCCGCGGCGATTTGCCGTTAACTGTGGAGAGACGGGACCGAATGCTCCACCGATCCGGATGCGAGCACCGACAGCATCCAAAGGAAGAGCTGAGCTGTCGCGTAACAATTTGTGCTTGGAAACGCTTTGGTGGAAGAGGGAGTCTGGCGTTCGTCTTCGTTTGAAAAGGGATAGCGAAAAGGGCGTGATTTTTTTTTACAGTAGGGAGAGGGAAAAAATAAAAGGAAAAAAGACCGTGCGAAACCAAGCGCCAGAGCAGCCCTCACAAGGTCATCACACCACGAGGGAGCAAAAGTGCTCCCGATCCATGCGATCTCTCTCTTGCTTTTCATACTGACTGTAAGGGATGTTTTTATTTTATCATTTAATTTATTTAGCAGGCGAGGTGTTTGCAGGTGGTAGCGGGGTAGGTGCGGGGCGGAGGTGCCGCGCTCCTGCTATTTACTAGGGCATCAATCGGAGTGAAGATGGAGGTGGGAGGAGATAACAAAAGCTGGTGTGCGATCCTGGGCATCTCCCACACGAAGGCGTGAGAAGGAGGAGGGAAAGGAGACGGCAGGAGAGAGAATTTCATTTCCAAAGATCAAAACAAAAGGTGGAGTAGGTTGAGGCAGATCGTGAGCAGCCGGCGCGGAACGCGAGGGAGGCGATTTCCGCGCTGACCCGAGCGGAGCGCGGGGGCTCGGCGGGGGCCGGGATGTGCGCGGCTGCGGAGGGAGGGAGGGAGGGGGCGCGGGCAGGGGCTGCCCGACCGGCGCAACTTTGCGCGCCAGCATCGCTTGGAAATAAGCTGCTCTCACCCGGAGAGACGCGCTGCTTGTGCGGGGCGAGGGGAGGAACGCCTGCCGCTATCCCGAGGGCTTCTTCGCCCCGCTCTTCCATCTCCCGCCGGGAAGAACGGGGTCGTGGCCGCGGGGTGCGGGGGCAGCTCTGCGCTGCGGCGGGGACGCCTCCCCGGCGCCCGTGGTGCCGCGCCGGGACGCGGGGGCTCAGCGCCGTGCGGGGCGCTGCCAGAAGGGACCCTGCACTGCCGGGCACCGCGAGCTGCGCGGTGCCCGCCGCTCGGTGCCCTGTGCAGCGCTGCCCGTGCCGCCGGCTCCCCCGGTACGAGGCTTTTCCCGCCCGCCCAGAGGTGTCCCCACCCCCCGGAGTCCCCCGCTCTCCCCACTGCCCCCACAAGGGAACGCCTCCCTCCTCCCACCCCAGCCAGGCGGTCCCCTTCCTGCATGAAGCCGCTTGCAAGGTTCCCCCAGCCCAGCTTCGCATCCCGTCCGCAATGCCAAGAGCCTTTCCTCTGCTGGGTGTTCCCCCCGGCCCCTCCCTGGCTTGCCCCATCCCGGGCTGGCTGCTCCGGCGTCTGGCGTGCGGAGAAACAGTCGGGGATTGGGAGGGAAAGGCGAAGGGGAAGGGGGGGGTTGATGTTATGCAACTGCAGACCCTCCGTTTCCCCGGCCCTGGAGGAGCCTGTTCAGGGGCTTTTCGAAGGCGGGACGGGGCTCTCCGCCTTCCTCGGGCGAAGGGCAGCTGGAGCCGGAGCGGGCGGAGCTCCCGCTGCCGCGCAGGTACCGCGCTCCCGAATCCCGCACGACCCGGAGCAGTGCAGCGAGGCGGGGAGGGGGTTTACCTGCACCGCCAGGCTTTTCGGCTGACAAGCAAACGTGCAGATAACAGGGTGATGGAAACACCTGCCCTTTTCATTAAAATTGAAGGGTGATTGCTTGGGCATTAAACCCATAGCCAATTATCAAAAGGCCAAATATATGAATAAATTTTATGTTCTTGTACAGAAGATGTTAATGTAACAGATGGGTTTAAGCAATACAGGTACTTCTCCCAACAATTCTGCTGGCGATACATTTTTAGCAATGTTTTGTTATTAGTGTGCCTTTGGATAGGCATTCTCGTCCTTCATATGTTGGAAAGTTTAGATCTCAGAGGTATCATTATCTCTTTATGAAGAATAAAAAGATGGACATATTTTATAACCAGAATATGATATGCAACAGATTATTCACACAGAAAAATAAGTGTATGTGGAAGCTCAGTCTCTGTATAATACATAATCAATGTCCCTTTCAGGATACGTACTTCCTTGTAGTTGTTTCTGTCACACATTTTCAGAGTCATTAGTTTTCACTACTACCCTATTACTTGACAGAATGCCTTTTCTTATTAAAGAACATAGTTCATTTAAGAACATCAGTTTGCTTGAAAGATCTTCTAGTACTGTGTTCATACAGCACAATCCATTTCAGGTTTGTGGACTGCGATCAATTCTAATTAAAACTTTAATTATATTTTTCTCCATTCAAACAAAGCTTGAAGTAGTCTGGGCTGATGTTGCTGTCAAGGAAAAGTAAGGAAACATGTTCTTCATCTTGGTTATGTGTTATCCCTGCCTTTTAATTAAGGACTGAATCCTTAATCCTTTGTATTTATCCACAAACTTTTATGACATAGGGCTGCAATATTTAACTAGTTTTCTAGGTTGCCCTGTCTTCTTGACTGATACAAAGGTATACCTGCACACCACTGATTTTTCAAGGTGCTTCTTGTTCTGGAACATCCAGCTGTTGCCAGCAGATCAGTTGTGTCATCAAGCGGCATCTACTCCGGAGTATCACAGCGTTATGTAACTCACAACACAGAGCAAATGCCAGAGATGTCTCTGCTGCTGTCGCTCCTGTTGTGCGGTTCCCTGTGTGCCTTCCCCTGCCGTATTGTACCAGAAGAGTCAGAGCTGATACCACCCCTCAGCAGCAGCTAAAGGGAAACTCTGCTCTGGCCAGAATGATGAGGCCAGGTGTAATTAGCTGGGATGTGGTGGGGCAGAGCAGAGGAGATGAGGCGGGCTGTGCAGGATGGAAGCAGTGCAATGCCGCTGGCTTTGGTGCTGTTTGGAAAAGGCGCCACGTGTCCCAGGCTGCAACATCCTGCTGACTGCAGCATGTCTGGGGTCTGGAGGGATCCCGACTTTCCTTCCAGCAGGGTCCTCCTAGAGAGCAGCACCATTGGGCTGCTACAGGCCTCTTGACTTTTTCTGTCTATACACTCAGTATAGCTGCAGGAAGGATCTAAATCTAAGGATACAGGTTCCCTTAACAAACACATGAACGTGGTGAACTTTGTTGTGGGTGATTCCATAATTGTTTACATTTCAAGCTGTTGTCCTGGTTCTGGTTTTCAGTTTTGGAATTATAATGTTATGTCTGTCTGTGCAATGGATTCCTAAGCCTTTTTTGTATTGTATCTGTGCCTCACGCTCCCATTTTAGGTATTCAGTTCTGTCAACCTTTGCAGATTCCCATAGATTTCCAGAATTTTATGTCCCTTGGCCAAAAAGTGCTGGCTCATCCTCTAATTGTGAAACAAACAGCAATGTAAACTAATTGAAGATAGAGTTAGAAAATTTAAAGTAGGGTAGACATATTTGGTTTTAAAGTCCTAAGAATTGAAATGCAGCACTTACCCTGAGCAGCTGTGCTCCTCATCTGTGATGTTAAACATTGTCAGCACCAGTCTTCATCCTTTTGTTTTTAGTAGGTATTGTTTTAGCAGTGTGCATTGGGGCTAAATACCCTTTGACTTTTGAGTGGTCTGTAAAGAAGCTTGTTTCCAGGGGGGTTTGATTGCCCATGGATTCTTTGCTTTCTTGAATTTTGTCTTACATTAACAGAGGCAAGCACTGTGATCTTCCTTATTTCTCATGCCTAATTTTGATTCAGACTACTCTATAATGAGCCTAGACCATTTAATCTGTATCTGTCCCCATTTTCTTTTGGGTTACTATTACCTGCATTTGCGCACCTTTTGTCATTCTACATGCTTGGGCTTTTTCTTCCTTCGGAGTGTAATTTTGTTCCTTCTTTTTGTGCATGTTCATTGCATCTTTGGATCACTTTCCACCTTACCAGTTATTTTCTTTTCTGTTTATTTCTTTCTTGGGAAAGGCCATGGTTTACCCCATACATAGCTTGCCTCCATGGCATTGCTGAAAGTTCTGTGTGGTACAGGAATGCAGCACCAACAGGGAAGGCTGTGAGCGTTTGCTGTGCTGGAAGATGTAAGAATCCAGATGGGCTCCCATCACAGGGCGGCGCTTTCTTACCTTAGCTTCAACTGCTTGTCTTTATTCATAGAGAGAGAATCTTATATTTTGACTTCTGTGCTATTGGTCTGAGAGTAATAGCTATAAACCTTTTCAAGGAAAATTAAACAGATGATAAAAAGGATATTTGTTCATGGAATGCAAAATCTCGGAGCAGTGCTACTAATTTTTATTGCTTTTTAAGTTATAACGTGCTAAAATATATATGTATTTTTTCTTTTTTTAACTATGTTGGTGTTATCCACAGGGTCTCTGCTTTCAAGAGCTTTTCCACATTTGGATGTGAATGTGACTGAAAGGACAATAATACACTTGTAGGAAATTCAGGCAGATTATTAGAGATGGTCTCATAGATGAAAGTTGAAAAAAGCAAGCAGTTTCAAGGAGACAGTTGAAGGAGAAAAAGATAAAAGCCACTTGATAGTCAAATTCACTGATTTGTTTATAAAAATATCAAGCTGTTTTTCTTTGTGATTTTTCCCCTGAGGAAAGTAAGGAACAGAATATGTTTAGTAAAATAACTTGTAAAACCACAGCTAATTGAAATAAATTGTGCTCCTTGGGAGGAAAGGACAACTGCATCTTTTTTTGAACGAAGCATGATGTGTTCTGAAATTATGATATGAA